CAGAGGCAAGATCAGAACTCAGGAACATCTGATTTGTAGTTCCTTCTTTGATCAGGATTTCAGATATTTTCCTTCTCTCAAGATTTTAGATATCCTTTCTTATGCACCACTTTTCTACGTGGGCTTGAATGCTCTTTCTAACTGTATTGATCTTTTTAACCTTTTAAATTGCATTGATGTTTTATTTGGGAAAAATTACCTTGGCAGCCCAATTCTGTGCGTATCTAGTAGGAAATACATACTGTTTAGTTCAATGGGAGTCAACATGCATAAGATTACCAAGGTGTTTTTTTAAAGGAATCATTTTATTATTTTTTATTTATGTGTTTATTTTTGCTCTTACCAATGAGTTTTAATATATTTATTTAATGCTTTTAAATATTGCAAATAACTTATTTTTATTTATGTGTTTATTTTTGCTCTTACTAATGAGTTTTAATATACAGTATTTATTTAATGCTTTTAAATATTACAAATAATTTATTATTTGATTTCTAACTTTGTTTCTTTTAATACTGTAAGCAATCTTGGATCCGATTTACCCTTGGATAAGGGGAATTGCCTAAGCTTTGGTGCAAATTGCCACACAGTAAGGAGGAGCTAGTTGCACTCCTGAGTACATGCATGCAATAAGGTACCCCTCTGGGAACATAACCATTACGTTGGTGACGAGAGGCAATTTGCCTTCAAGGCTTACAGTTCCCTTTATAGAGGCATAAATCAGCAACAAGATTATACCTAGAGATAGGCCCAAACCAGCACAATGGCAGTGCATGATGGTTTGTCAATGTCCACAAACCATGAACCATGCTGAATTTAAAAACCTCCACAAAAAAACATTTTGTGGTTCATTAGATTTGGGCCCATCTCCAAATGAAGGGGAGGCTTTCTGTGTAGCTTAGCACCCTTCATGGGCCCCAGCACCTACCTTACCTGCTCCAAACCTTCTCCTCTGCCACTGCTGCCCAGCTGAGTAGGACAATAGGCTATCTGTGGCCTATGCCCTGCCCCGTTGCTTTCTGTGAGACTTAGACAATCATGGTTCTTTGAGGGTTCCTTATATATATTGCCCAATGGACAGCAAAACTACACTTCCCACAATACCCTAAGCATCCCAGGAAGCACTGGGGCAAAATACATCCCAGACAGTCTACTGTCCTACTCCGCTGGGGGGATGGCAGTGATGGAGGGCAGGAGGAGATCCGGAGCAAGGTTCTGGGGCCCATGAAGGGCACCTAAACAATGCAAAGCTTTTACTCTGGCCTGCTTCAATGCACTTCCATCAGCAGTCCAGGAAGGGAAATATAACAACACCCCTTACACTCAGCTTATATGCCCCTGTAACTCTGGTGAGATCAAATGTGTTACTTCATTGTGCTTTTTATTCTGGCATTCGAGAAGTCCTTGTTAACCCTTACATAAGGGCATTTCCTGGACGATCAGAGGCACATTACACACTGCTTTTGGTGACAGGGCGATGCCCTGGCAGATACACTGGGCTAAACCAAAATTCAGATATGTTGACGAAAGCAGCTAAATTCTGTGCTGCTGTAGTCAAAAACTGTGAAGGAAAGGTTCCATCCAAAGTGCAGCTATAGTATCTGTAAATTGGTGTATACATGTAGAGGCCTTAATGATCACACCGGCTCTATGGGCTTCAAAGTAATAATTCTGTCATTCTATGCAAGCTGCAATAGCCCATAGATAAGGCCTATGATAGAGAGGCAGGAGATATCTAATAAGATGAATGAATGCAGTTTTATATATGTGTGTATATAGATTTTTTTTAGTGTTTTTATATTGATTTTATGTTTCCTAATTATTTAATGTTCCTTACTTTTGCTGGTCAATGACTGTAATAAAACATTTATTATTATATGAAGGGAGGCTTTCTGGGTGGGGGAATGAAGCAAAATGAAATGTCAATGATGAAAAAGTTCAGTGTTTTGTTTCACTAGGGACGTGGTGGCGCTGCGGGCTAAACCGCAGAAGCCTGTGCTGCAGGGTCAGAAGACCAAACAGTCGTAAGATCGAATCCATGCGACGGAGTGAGCTCCCGCCACTTGTCCCAGCTCCCGCCAACCTAGCGGTTCGAAAGTATGCAAAATGCAAGTAGATAAATAGGGACCACCTCGGTGGGAACGTAACAGCGTTCCGTGTCTAAGTCGCACTGGCCACGTGACCACGGAAGATTGTCTTCGGACAAACGCTGGCTCTATGGCTTGGAAACGGGGATGAGCACCGCCCCCTAGAGTCGAACACGACTGGCCAAAAATTGTCAAGGGGAACCTTTACCTTTGTTTCACTTCATGAAAATGCAGTTCCCGGAAACGCCCACAAAACAAACCACAAACTGGCACGGTTCGTGATTTTTCTGGGTTCGTGGTTCTGATTATAGCCATTAATGACGGCAACCCATGGGAAGAAATGAAATATATTTACGAAGATTCCAGATTTTATAAAGATTATACCAAAAATTCTTACATTTGAAAACTTCTATAAAAACATATTTACCAAGGGGGTAAAAAAAGATAACAAACACAAAAGCAAAAGGTCCCTTAGTGTCACCTTCAACATTCTGGGTTCAGATTTCCTGGCCAACAAAGCAAATTACTGTGAGCAAGATAAAGTTCTAAGTCCTATCAGCAAAAAGCTGTAAAAAAAAAAACCACTAAGAAATTTAGACCGTTGGCATAAAATGATGTGTGATATCATTCCAAAGAATCTAAGTCTAAAGGTTTCCTTCCACATCAGTGCCCTTGCATGGATGAGTATACATACAGGAACCAAGAACATACATGCAGTGGGTTCAGACAGCAAGAGAGCAAATTGGCGAGACTTCATTCTCCTCTTCCAGTTTAGCAAAAGTAGGATGTGAAAGGAACAAGACCTTCCCTTCTTCCCTCTTTTCTATCAGCAACTTTTTTTTCTGGACAGTCAGTTGGCTGAAGAGCAGCTGTATATAATTTTCAAATGCTGGATTCCATATTCAGTGTGGAATTTTGAGACTCTTCGCTTTCGTTTTCATTAAAGCTGGCTGAACAGTTCAGTGGTTCAGGTTTCTGGCTGTGGAGCCAGAAATTGGTTCGATTCCTCACTGTGCCTCCCCACAAGTAAAGCCAGCCTGGGTGGCCTTGGGCAAGCTGCACAGTCCCAGGATGCCCTCAGAAGAAGGGAAGGGTAAAACCCTTCTGAGCATGATCTACCTGGAAAACCCAGAAAAGGGTCACCAGACATCAAGATTGATTTGATGACACGTGATGATGCTAATGATTAGCTTTCATTTGACATAAGATTCAGATCCTTGAATGTTACTGGAAAAGGCTAAAAATACAGGGGCAAAGCCTAGCGAAATAATAGATGGTGAGACAGTTAAACTTAATTCTAATGGCCAGGAGAGTAGAATTTCATTTCCCTGATGACTCCCCCACTCTCACAAATATCATGAGCATAACTGTGCAATTCTGCCTAATTTCAATGATGGCATTTTTTTTCTTGGGACAGAATGTGGATTGCGTCATTGGAACAATTATGTTATTTTAGTGCTAAGTACATACATCTTGGGATAATGGAAATGTGTCTCTTTCCTGCTCTAAAAAACATCAATTTCTCAAAGAGACCTTCAACATAAAAGAATAAAGCAGGATATACAGAATGATTCCTGTGTCATGTGGGCCTCTGTTTGATAATGCTCATAAGAACAGAATGGGGATGAGACTTAAAATACTATGGCTTTCCACTCAGGTTGTGTAAGTATTGTCTAATGTGAACTATGGTTACTGTGTTAGAGTAGGACCAGAGCAAGACAGGTTGAAATCCCAACTCAGCCACCAATTGTACCAGAAATGTTTTAAGGTAAAGATACTATAGGCAGACAGAAGGATAAATAAGTGGGATCAAGACTGACTTCGTACTAGTAGTTAAAATGATTAAACTAAGGTTGTGGTACTAAACAGAAACTGCAATATGCTGGACATATCAGAAGAGGACAAGACTCCCTGGAAACACAATAATGCTAGGAAGAGTTGAAGGCAATAGGAAAAGACAGAATCTTAACATGAGATGGAGTAAAACTCCATAAAGGAAGCCATGGTCTTTGGTTTGTAAGACATGATATTTTGGATATCTTTAATTTACCAGGTTGCCATATGTCAGAATCAACTTGACACACATAACAACAACACAAACAAATGCCAGATCATACATCAGACCTAACCTCACTTGTTTGGTCCAACATACTAGATGTTACTCCATCCGAGATACTTCTCTGGTCTTTGCTAGGAATCCAAAACGTTCCAAACAGATTTCACATTTCTTGTGAAATCAATGTCATTCATTTAATTTCATTCTATTATTTATACCCCACCTTTCTCCTAAGGAGGAGAATATAACACATTAGATCCTGTATTTCTGGCCACGTTTTCTATAAGTTCTTTCCCTGAAGCATTTGGAAGCATTTCTTTACTTTACTGATTTACAAATATTTATGAACTGCTTGAATCTGAAGGTTGTAAAACAGCGTGCCACAGTACAAAAACATGCAACACACAAAACTGAATTACAGTATTTATCATCAACAGACATGAGATTGGACCTCCCAAGAAAAGGCTTGCAAAAAACAGGTAAGTTTTCAGGATGTGTCTAAAAACAAATATTGCTGGAACAAGTTGAAGTTTAGACAGCAGTGTATTCCACAGAGTGGGTCCCACAATGCACAGCACCCTCTCTGAACAGTTGCAGAGTAGGACTTTGGCAACATGTGGCTTCTCCAAATCAAGTGAGGACCAATAAAAGAAGCTCTAAGGGAGAATACAACCTGTCAGGTAACCAGGTCCCAAATTATTTGCTGTTTTACAAACTATAAACTTTATGGATGAACCCCATTCAAGGACTCTGACCAGTCTTTCTCATGCTGCTGCCCTCTATTTGACTAGAATCCCCATCATCCTCAGTCAACCAAGTCAAATAAGACAAATAAAATTTTGAAACCAGACACCTACCTTCATATTTCAGAGCCAGTTTGGCATGCCCAATAGCTTCCCATGGCGATGGAATATCCAGGAACACGGCATCGGCGACACTGGTGACGCCAAACCCATTTTTGCACACATCCTGGTTCTTTACTGTTACCAAATGGTCCACTTCATGTTCTCGAAACTCTTCTATGGCCTTCTCAGCTCTCTGTTGGTGAAACTCTACTGTATACAGATGCCCTGTTGGGGCGATCGTCCTAATAATTGCATGAGAGAGGGAACCGCTTCCAGTACCTGGAAAGAAAGGAAAAGCTGAAATATCGAAATACAATTTCTGAAAATGAGTAAGGCCGAATTTACATGTAGGCAACTGAAGCAGATTACATGGGCAAGCACTTAGGACTCCTATATTCCACAGCAGGAGTGGGGGAAAAATAAATCTCTGGGTGATCCAGTGTGCCAAGGGTCTCCAACTCTCTGCTATATGAGTGGAGGACCTATATGGGATTTTGGGGACAAGAGAAATGCTGCATCTGGAAAGTCATATTCTGATTTTTTTTAGGCCACCTTTAGCCTGTGTCATATAGTTTGCTGCCTCCATCTCATACTAACAACTTAAAAACTTCCACTCAAATTAGGATCCTGAAGCAGAATATTTGGAGAAAAACCTGGAGCAGATTTCTGTGTGAAAGGAAACATAATCTTGTTCTGCTGCTCATGGCTAATATCTGGGCTAAGCACCTACTTGGAAGAGCTCTAAATACTTAATTCTTAAAGAATTTTTAATTCTTCTCAGAGTCTTAATTCTTATTAACAATGATAACCTTTGAACTACAGAGCTGAAAGGGACCCTGTGGATCATCGAGTCCGGCCCCTCTCAAGGAGGCCCAGTGGGGAATTGAACTCCCAAACTCTGGTTCTGTAGCCAGATACCTAAACCACTGAGGTTTAGGTATCTATCCGGCAGCTCATGTCTGCCCACCTCTGCTATTCTTCTGCATCTCCAGTTGGTACCTATCAGGATTTTAATAAAAAAGCAAAGTAGATCCCATATACCTGAAGTTTGCCCACCCTTAGTCTACTGGTATAGGCGATTTCGGAGCAAAAGTTCAGAAATTATTAATCAAACACTACAAGTGGAAGAGCCAACAAAACAGAACAGTCTTGAGTACTTCCTGCTCAGGATTTCAGATCTCTGTTTTGTTACACAGATGCCTGGCTTTTTTGCCCAGCTCCCCCAAAGTCTATCAATATTTCATGATCACCATTGACTCCACTCCTCCCTCCCTTGGCTGTTTGAAGGGTCTGAAGATTTCTTCCTTCTACATGCCCATGGATAACCTGCTCCTTCCACATGGATAGTGTCATTTTACTTTTTTATTAGTTATGTTTCTACCAGCTTTTATACTAATGTATGCCTTAGTTACATTTATATTTTATAAGCATTTATACCTCAGCTTTCGCCCCACTGGGTTTCGTGGGTGTGTCTCCTCCTCATCTAATTCTCACGGCAACCTCGTAAGGGAGATCAAGCTGAGGCAGAAAATAAGCAGCTAAAGGCCATCCATTGAGTTTCATGGCTCAGGACTCAAATCTCCAAATCCCAGTTCAACATTCCAGTCACCATAGTTAAAGGTTCCTCTTGACATTTAGTCGAGTCATGTTGGATTCTAGGGGGCGGTGCTCATCCCTGTTTCCAAGCCGTAGAACCAGCGTTTGTCCGTAGACCAGTGGTCCCCAACCTTTTTAGTCCCGTGGACCGGCTGGGGGAGGCGGAGCACACACCCCCCCTCGCGCTTGTGCACATGCGTGAAGGAGCGTGCTCTCTCTCAGGTACGGGCGTGTTTGTGTGCATGTGCAAAGGGTGGTGCAGTGCTCATGTGGGTGCGCACACTCGCGCTGCAGGCACAAACAGGTTGTGTGGGGGAGTGCATGTGGGGGGGGAGGTCTCTCTCCACAGCCCAGTCCAGCCTCAGGACCGGCATCAGGCCGCGGAACGGGGGTTGGGGACCTCTGCCACAGACAGTTTCCGTGGTCATGTGGCCAGCACGACTAGACACGGAATGCTGTTACCTTCCCATCGTGGGGGTACTTATTTATCTACTCGCATTTACAGTGGTGCCCCGCATAGCGAGGTTAATCCATTCCGGATTAACCTTCGCTTTGGGGAAACATAGTTAAGTGGGACGGCGAAACCCACTGGAACGCATTAAACGAAGTTCCA